CAAAGCAGTGAAGGTCAAAATCCCCAGAAGGAATTGACAGCAGGAGGCCTCTCCAGGGCACAGCCCCATGGCTGGATGATGGGTTTCTTCCAAACTAAGAAGTCCGGGCGAGGGCAGCCTATGTGTCTGGCGCTCAGGGCACCACCTCCAAGGGTTACTCTAGAACAGTCTACTGTGGGAAACTCCTTGGGTAGGACCGGTCACGGAGCTGGGTATTGTAAACGTTGCCTGTAAAGCTTCGTTTACTTTCTCAAAGCCACTTGCTTCCTGTGCAGCGGGAGCCAGGCTGCTAACTTGCCCACTAGTGTGAAGAGAGGGGAAGAGACGATCTTGATCTTCTGGCTTGAGCTCACCTCACTGCAGCTGCTGGGGTGTGGGTGGAGTTCCCCACCGAGCAGTGAGGTCCTGGTCACACCGGGCCAGGCTTCCAGCCTTGTTAAATCCCACCAGTCTGCTGTACCCCACTCCGGGGACAAATGCTCCAAGGAGAAGTCCCACCCTTTTCCCGGGTCAGGGGCTCCTCCTTTCTCTCTGGCTTCACTTCTATTTCTGAAACTGATGGCTGAAAAGTGAAGAGGAAAAGGGCTGATGCGCAGACACGGGGGTGGGGTGGGGAAGGAATTCTGGGAAATGTTTTCTTACTAGACCCCTGGCTTACACCTCCTAAACCTGGCTCACGTCCTGTGCCCTCATTTCACTCCCTGCAGAATCAACTGGAGGCACGCCACTGTGAGGGGAAGGCAGGGCTTTGGGGGGCATGGTAGGATGTTTCACAGTAACCTCATTCCCACTCATTCTGGTAAATCCATGCCGAGCCCCTGCAGGTTAGACACCATCTCCAGACACTGGTAATTGCCCAGCTTGAGAACTGAGATAGTGTGTTCACCCTTTTTGTGGTTGTCAGGAATTTTTTTTTTTTTTTGCCAGTCCTAGGACTTGAACTCAGGGCCTGGGCGCTGTCCCTGAGCTTCTTTTGCTCAAGGCTAGCACTCTGTCCTTTGAGCCACAGCGCCACTTCCGGCTTTTTCTGTGTATGTGGTGCTGAGGAATGGAACCCAGGGCTTCATGCGTGCTAGGCAAGTGCTCTACCACTGAGCCACCTTCCCAGCCCCTGAAAATTCCCTCTTTGACCCTGTCCCTTTTTAGGACGAGCGGATGGGAGGTGAGGCGTCTTGGGGACTTGGCAGGAGATCCTGCTCGTCCCGATGACCTGCGACACTGGGCTGTACTCGGTCAGACTGCGGATGACGGCAACTTGGGCCCTGTGGTTGCGAGGCAGGTGCTCCGCCACTTGAGGTACGCCTCCAGCTCAGCCTCTACTTCTAAAGACATGCATCTGGAGGCTGCTGCTGCTGTCATCAGAGTACTCTAAACAACACAAGTTGAAGGCCAGAGTCAGAGAGGGGGCTCTGAGTGGCGTGTTCATTAGAACACCAGAACATCCATCTGTGCGTTGGTTCTGATGGCTCACGCTCTGTCCAGTTCCAGCGGTGGAGTTTTAGCTGCACAAAACACATGGCTAAGTGACCCTAGAAGGTGGCAGCAGGTACGCAGCCTGGCCTGGCCCGAGAGTGCGCCGGGGATGGCTGAGTGGCTTATGCTGAGCCAGTACCACATAAGCAGGGCTAAGAATAAACAGTTCTGCCACCAGATGCCAACTCCAGGCTGCCGGGCCTGCAGGCTGGGGGCATGGCGGGCCTGGAGCTTTGTCAGGAGGCTATTACGGGGCTCCTTTGGTTTCAGCACATCTTGGGACATCTCTCCTTCTCAGGCAAGAGACAAAGAGCAGCCAAGCAGGGAGACCCCCACCCCCGGCATGAGGCTCGGCGCCCAGGAACGTGGGACCTCAGAACCCTGACCAGTGTTTTCTTTCTCACTGGGACCACAGTCCACAGGCCTTTGTGGAGACACAGTTCTCAAACCCTGTGGCTCTCAGGAAGTAGGTTCTTGATCCCAGTCCTGAACAAGACACAGGGAAAGGTACAAGTGGGTTAGAAGGTCGCCTGGCTACAGTGTGGGCGGAACTACAGGAGGTCACACATCAGCCCTGCTCATCCTTCCGTAAGTGAGGCTGGCGTTGGAGGCATCACTGGGGCTGTGCAGTCTGCCAAGTAGACCCAGCTCACTGGGTCACTGTGGCCCCTCTCTCTGTCTCTCTGTCTAGCTCACTCTCTCCCGTGGCTAGCTGCCCTGTCTCAGGTTAGGTGGGAGGAAGGAAGCCCATTTGGCTCGATAGCTGACTCACTCTCTCTTGCCTGGCTTCATAAGCTAGCACACTCGGGGTCCTCCGCACCTCATTTCTCAGCGTGGAGGAGGAAATGTTAGTTGACTTCTAACTCCTACCAGGTCACGTAGCACTTCAGTGCTGGTGGCGTGGTCTGGCTGGACAGGCCTGGCTTATTTATGTATGCCCACGGCTGCACCATTACCCCCAGTGGCCTGTGTGTGCATCTCCTGCCTGGTCCAGGAAAATCCACCTCAAAAGCACCACTCAGAAGCCTAGCAGGGCTGGTGACCCAGATCCAAGCCAGACAAACTGGCCTTGGCCAGTCGAGTGTCCACTCTCCCCCTTGGGGCATTAAAGGTCCATAAAGACTCAAGGGGAGCCCTCCTCCGACCTCCCCACAGCAAGAAGAGAACATTTTAAAAATGTTTTTATTTAATTAAAAAAGAGAAAGAGAGAGAGAGGAGAGAGACAGAACTAACAACTGGAAGAAGGGGTGGTGGAGAGGATCAAAGGTGTTGAACTGGCAAAACACACAGTGGGAGGGAGGGGTGGGGGAGGATGGGCAGGTGGGCTTGGGACGCGAAGCCCCCAGAGAGGGTGTGCCAGGTGAGCCTGGCTGCAGCAGACTCTGCTCCCTCTGCCCTGCAGGAGCAGAGTTGATGGTGGTGGGGGGCAGGGCAGCGGGATGGCAGTAGGGGGTTGGGTGGGAGGCAGGGAGGCTGTGGAGGCCGGAGCAGTGGAGGTTTTTTTGCTCCCTGTCCTCTGTCCCCTTCTTTCTACTCCTTCCTGGTCCCCAGCATGGCCTTGCGTGTTCTCTGCCTGGGGACTGGGTAAGAGGTAGGATTCATTGGAACACAGCTTTCTCTGGGGGTGGGGTGGGGTGAGGGGGAGGGGAGGGAGGGTCACAGAAACTTCTGGGGTCCGTGGTCAGGGAGGTGGCTTGGCTGGAAGCCACAGCAAGGCCCTGTGGCTTCTGGAAGAGACCGAAGATGGGTCCTGGGTCTTGCTGGGAGCTGGGCTTCTGGTCACCTTGTCAGATGGTAGCACGGTGGTGGGGGTGTGATGGTGAGGGGTGGTGGGGGTGGGGAGTCCTGCTGCAGGGCCTGACCACACACCCCAATGCTGGGGTGCTCACTCTGCATGCTTGGACACACCCAAAAGCCAACCTGGCCAGGAGGGAAGGGTTTCGGCAAGCACACCTCACGTCTCGGCTCGCCGGCACACGGTGGGGGGGGCGTGGGGCTGGGCAGTCCTCTCCCGGGGGTGGAGGGTGGGCAGGGAGAGACGAAGGTCATCACTTAGATCAAATGGCCCTGGGTGGGCCCAGGGCCTCTGTGAGCAGGTGGCTGAGGTAAGAATTTGCTCGTCACTTGCAAGTGAAACAGCTACGAGATCACAGATCCGATTAAGAAATGTCAAAAAGTAAGAAACCGTTGGTCCTTAGAAAGCACGTGTTTGATAGAAAAGAGGGCAAGTCCCATGTTTCCAGAATGTTCGTCTTCCAGACCTGCAAAACCCAGAACCTACTTCCTCAAGTTCCAAACAAACAGCTTCTTCCTCAAGTTCCAAACAAAACGCCGAGATATCTGTCTCCTCAGGGAGAAGGAACACGCAGCCCGGCCCCTCCGTGCACGCTTTCTGCATGGCGGCCGAACAAATGACAAGAACAGGAGCTGGGGGTGGGGTGGGAAGGTGCTGCTGCTACTTTTTGAGATGAGGAAATGAACATAACTCACGCTCCTGGTGTTGGTTCCCAACCACTGAGAAATGGATGCTGACTGCCTGATGCTTCTTTGTGTTTTTGGTCACTATTTGCACTCAAATCTTCCTTTCTTGTACCGAAGTCCAGGTTTCTGCAGCCAAACACCAGTATGGAGGTGAGATTCGGGCTCATCTCCCCACGCCAGGCAACCTTGTTCCTCAGGTCAGGGCAGAAGGACCCAGCAAGAGCCCATGTGGCCACCTTTCCTCTGACTCAAGGAATCTTCCAGACCTTCAAGTTCAGGCCGTATGTCCTGCCTCTTATAAGTAAGGGGGGGGGAAACTTCTGGAAGCCGACTGGGAAGCCAGTGGCTGCCTCCATCTTTACCTCCGATTCTTCCACAGGCCTCCATCTTCGAAGGTGAAGGAAGGCCAGGCCCAGGGCAGCTCAAGGCTGAAGCACCAGTTAGTTGGCCATTTCTCTTCAGGCTGACTTTGTCCTGCCCACTTGTCTGAGAGAGATGGAGAGAAGAAGAGAGACCGAGAGGAAGGGAGCGGGCTCTGTTGTCCTTGGTTCTGGCTCAAAGACACAGGGGACCCCAGATTTGAAAGCAGCTGATCAGAGTCTAGAAACTTCTCTGTGCCTGGAGAGGCCTTCCAGTGGCCCAGTGCCCAGGCAGGGGCTGGGGGGGCGGGGAGGTGAAGGCCTGAAATCTCCTTCTCCTTGCAAGACAGGTTTCCAATAGGAGATAATGGCTCAATTTTCTTTTCCTGTGCAGCTCCAGGAAAGCTGTTGGGCCTCCTAGGAGATTCTGGAAAAGCCTGGGGCAGGAATAAAAGCAATCTTTTCTGGGGATAAAGTCGGCCTGCCCTTCAGCTTCTACCAAGGCCTTGATTCCAGTCTCTGGAGCTTCAAGACCTCTAAGCCAGCCCAGCGCTCCTGCTGGAGGCCAGGGAGATGTCTGACTTCAGTTCCTTGTCTGGGGTCTCAAGGACCATCTGCCCTCCTGGGAGGTGCCCACAGCTGCTGGGGGTCGGGGAGCCGGTGCTGCGGTGGGGGACGGGGCACAGATCACACGGGGGTGGTCCTGCGGTTCAGCATGCTCACGGGAAATCCCTCCTTCAGATCTTGCTGGAAGAAATCGTGCACCTGCAGGAAGCCGGCCTCTTGATCAGGGCTGTAGCTGGCGGCCGTGGTGACCTTGAGGGGCTCCCGGGACAGAGTGTACATGGACAGCTCGCCCATGGGGATGGCCCCGGTGATCTTCAGGCCCACAGGAGATGCGTCCCTGGAGGGTGAGGCCTCAGTGGACCTAGAGCTGGACCGGGAGCGCCGTCGGCGGTACCTGTAGCTCGGCATCCTGGCGTAGGGTGAGGAGGAGGAGGCCTTCAGGAACTCCCGTTTGGTTTTAAACCTCAACTCTTTGTTTTTCTCAATGTAAATGTTTACGGCCAAGACACCCACGGTCTCTGCCACAATAAACGACAGGGCTCCGAAGTAAAAAGACCAGCCGTAGTTGTAATGATTCTTCTTGTCTTCATCTCGCTTGTCACTCGGGTCCCCCGTGTTGCTGGAAATGTAGACGATAATGCCTATGATGTTGCTGAGACCTGAGTTGGAGGTGGGGGGGGGCAGGAAGGGAGAGCGAGGCAGAGATTAGACCCGTGTCCCGAGGGACAGGCCAAGGAATGCCGGCCAGAGGAGGGGCTGCCGAGCAGTCCCCTCAGCATGAGCAATTGTTTATCCCCACGCCTGATTTTTCTCCCCTGTATAGTTGTCCCTTGGTATCCGTGGGGATCGGTTTTAGGACCCATTGTAGAAACCAAACTCTGGGCTGGGAAGGTGGCTCAGTGGTAGAGAGCTTGCCTTGCATGCATGAGGCCCTGGGTTCGATTCCTCAGCACTACATAAGCAAAAAGAAAATAGAAACCAAACTCTGCCCAGCCTCATGTACCCTTGTTCCTTCACAAGGTGAGCACCTACCACCACTATCTAGCTCTAAAACATGGCTGTCATCACCCCAAAAGGAAATCTCATGAAGGATTTGCCCCTCCCCCCCACAAACCCAGACTTTATGTTACGTTATTAATTTTCAGTTTTTTTTTTTTAATGGGTGCTGTGGCTTGAACTCAGGGCTAGGGCGTTGTCCCTGAGCACTTTTGCTCAAGGCTAGCGCTCTACCACTTTGAGCTATAGCACCACTTCTGGTTCACCATTTCTGGTGGTTCACTGGAGATAAAAGTCTCATGGACTTTCCTGCCTGGGCTGGCTTTGAACTTCGATCCTTGGCTCTCAGCCTCCTGAGTAGCTAGGATGATAGGCACGAGCCACCAGCGCCCGGCTACAAACCTAGATTTTAAAGGGTTAATAGCGCATGGTGACTCTGCAGTCAGACCCTCCACAGAGACCACGTGCCCACCTCCTCCACCACGTGCCCACCTCCTCCACCACGTCCCCACGTCCCCACCTCCCCCACCACGTCCCCAGCTCCTCCACCACGTCCCCACCTCCTCCACCACGTCCCCACCTCCCCCACCACGTGCCCAGCTCCTCCACCACGTCCCCACCTCCCCCACCACGTGCCCACCTCCCCCACCACGTGCCCACCTCCTCCACCACGTGCCCAGCTCCTCCACCACGTGCCCACCTCCCCCACCACGTGCCCACCTCCTCCACCACGTCCCCACCTCCTCCCCCACGTGCCCACCTCCCCCACCACGTGCCCACCTCCTCCACCACGTCCCCAGCTCCTCCACCACGTTCCCACCTCCCCCACCACGTGCCCACCTCCTCCACCACGTTCCCAGCTCCTCCACCACGTGCCCAGCTCCTCCACCACGTGCCCACCTCCTCCACCACGTGCCCAGCTCCTCCACCACGTGCCCACCTTCTCCACCACGTGCCCACCTCCTCCACCACGTCCCCAGCTCCTCCACCACGTGCCCACCTCCTCCACCACGTCCCCAGCTCCTCCCCCACGTGCCCACCTCCCCCACCACGTCCCCACCTCCTCCACCACGTGCCCAACTCCTCCACCATGTTCCCACCTCCCCCACCACGTCCCCAGCTCCCGTCCCAATGTGGGGCGCCAGTGGTGGCCACGCAAGCCCCAGGCTCACCCGCGGCCACGAAGAGGATGCCGGCGCTGAGGACGATGTTGTTCTTGCGGCTGTAGATCCTCCCCGCGCCGATGCACAGGCCTCCAAGCAGCAGAAGGATGGTGCTGAGGATCGGGAAGACGCTGGAGGCACGCACGATGCCTGGCCGGGGCGGGACAGAGCAGAGGGCACTGAGGCCAGCCGCCCTGCGGCCACAGCGCGAGTCCTGCAGCTGGGCCCCACACCTTCTTGTCACTCTCTGGACACCACAGGGCCTAGAGTCACATCTACTGGCTCTCACTCAGCCCCTCCCTGCGTGTGGGTGGGCTGGGAGGAGCAGAGTCCCTTGGGGGTGCTGGGGGCGGGAACACCAACAGCCTCTGTGCACTATGGGTGCACAAAGCACTTCACAGCCATCAGCCCTTACGTGGGGTCACCAGGAGCCCTGACCCTTGCATGGAGGCGCAGAGTTTGGCATGTTAGGGGGGAAGGTATAGCCCTGGCTGAATCACTTCACCTCTCCAAAACTCAGTTTCCCCATCTGTGAAGCACATGTGTCTCTTCTGACCTGCAAGATGCCCCAAATCAATAGTACTGAAATATATGTATGTATATATATATATAATATACATATACATTTGTAATATATATGTACAGATATACGAATAGAATATATACATTCTATACATATAGAATATATATATATACATATACAATATGTAGAATATATATCCTATATAGTATATTCTATATAGAATTAGTATATTCTATATAGAATATGTCATATAGAATATACATTCTATATAGAATTTATATATTCTATATAGCATATATATTATATATGTCTATATTCTGCTAGCTCATCATATGTACCGTTGATAAAGCTTCACTTAGAAATTAAATTTAGGGAGGGATTTGTAACAAACACAGCAGTATACTATAATCTAGAAAACGATTCAACATGTATGCATTGTTTATTTCTGCAGTTTCCCGTTTCATATCGTTGGACTGCAGTTGGCTAAATTCTCCTGAGGGGGAGGAGGGCGGGGAGGGGGAGGGGGAGGAGCCACTACAGTCCCAATTCCCTGTGGTTGGCCACGGTGTACGCTTCCTGAGCGAGCTGTGCACCGTCAGCCGCGTCTTCACCACACTCGGCAGCATGGGACACACACGAGGTCACAGGGTCATTAGAGTTTAGTCAGATGTGTGTGGACCACACTGCACAAGTCCGGTCCAGTTGAATCCTTGTTCTCTCACTGACAATAGGGCGATGTGGAGAGGAAGTTTTGGTGACTACCTGAGCCTACTCTCTGCCTCTGTCTCTGTATCAGTTATGGGGCTTGAACTCAGGGCCTGAGTTTTTTTGCTCAAGGCCAATGCTCTACCACTTTGAGTTATAGCTTCTCTTCTGGTATTTGAGTGGTTAATTGGGGATAAGAGTTCTCCTGGGCACTTTTCTGCCTGGGCTGGCTTTGAACTGTGATCCTCGGGTCTCAACCTCCTGAGTCACTAGGATGACAGGTGTGAGCCACCGCAGAGTCTACTCTCTTATAACTTGGGGACAGTAGTTATGTGGACCCACAGGTGTTGAGTTGTACCCCACCACTCTGGAAATACCCATATCCTAACCCCAGGAACTGTGAATGTGATCTTATTTGGGGAGGAAAAAAAGTCAGATGCAACTAAGGCTTTGAAGATGAGATCATCCTGGCTGATCAGACGGTCCCGAAGCTCAATGCCAAGTGTTCTAAGGAGAGGAGAGTTGGGAGGAGGCCATGTGAAGATGGAGGCAGAGAATGGAGTCACACAGTCCAGGAATGCTAACATCCCCAGAAGCTAGAAGAGGTGAGAGCAGAGCCCCTCTTCCCCCTGAGCCTCCAGAGGGCAGGCCTGATCAGCATCTTCACGGTAGATTTCTGGCCCCCATACTGGGAGTGAATTCCTGTTACTTCAAGCCACAGCATGGTGATCATTTGTTATGGCTGTTCCAGGATTATTGTGAGAAACCAAAGCACACAGTAGGTGCTTTGAGGTCCTCTTCCCTTAGTATCTGGGGTGGAAGGGAGGCCAGAGGAAGGGAAGAGCCGCCTGAGGAGGAGCCCAGAGCCCAGTCTTCCCTATGTCCCTGCGGGTCTCCCAGTCCCATACAAATCAGATGGCCTGGGTCTTGGTGGCCCCAGCAGGGGACAGTGAGTCAGGAAGTGCTGGCAGATGTCCCTCTTATGCCAGCTGACTGGCGTGGGGCCTTTCGGCATCTCAAGGCGGTGTTTGTCTCCTTTTGTACCCACCACTGTGTCCCCGGAACACAGAGGAGGGATTGTCGGAGGACACTAAATGAAGCTCTTCTCTCCGGCCCCAGACGCCTCCATTCCACTGGGAGGAGGTTTCCTGTGTGCTTTGGAAATGCACTGCTGAGCTGTGCTGGCAGAGCCAGGACCAGGACCTGTCCTGGACTCTGCAGATAGGCCGGAGGGCGGGAGAGAAGGGAGGAGCCTCGTTCCGTCTGAGCTCACCTGAGGCCTGCAACCTGCTTTATAGCCATCCATTTCTGCCCCAGGTAAATCAGACCAACCCTTGGCTCTTCCCACACTGACTGTGGGTGGCAAGATGATGGCGGAAGTCCAGTGCAGGGACATTCCCAGGAGCTTGGAGGCCTGCAGGAAGTCCTGGGCCAAGGACGTCACTCAAGACACAAGACCAGTTTCTGTGGGAGGTTTCGGGGTGTTGCCTGGGGTTGACTTCCTTCCTGAGTTGCTCATGACAGGTTTGGGCAGCGCAAGCTTGGATCAGCCTGGCTGGTGCTCCCGCCTGGATGGCTGTGCTCCACCCCACCATAGGCTGCGCCACAGGTCCCTCTGCTGCAGCAACTTCTGTGCCTTTCTCCAATTCTCCACATCCAGCATGTCAGCACTGACCAAGAGGGTTGAGGTCTGTGCTTGCTGCTGTAATTCCACATGCCCGGTATGGGGCACACAATATAGGCCCACAGTAAGTTTTGTTATTGTGACTACATGCATCTGCGGGAAGTGAAACTCCCTGCAAATGTTGGCCCCCAGAGAACCACTCTGCTGGGTGTCTCCAGATTTTGGGAGTTCAGAGGTTTGGATAGAAACCAGAAGACTGAATGTTGGGACACAGGGGACACAGGCCAAGCCGGCTCTGAGGTTGGGCTTGCCTCTCAAACCCACCCACCTCTCGGGTTCCAGGCTCACCTGCCTGCTGGATGAAGGGCTGTTAGGTTCTCAGAGCCCAATGGCCCTGCCGCAGCCATGGAGCAGAAATACACCTCCCTGCTGGTAAGTCCACACTGCCTCCCGGCCCCCAAGCCTGCCAACACCTGCAGCTCACGGGCCCCAAGGCTGCCAGCCCCAGACAGGGCATAGCTGGGTTTGTGAGTGAACCTGGCAAGGTCTCCTCACACTGTACACCTGAACATGTCCTTCCCAAATAAGCGCTCATTGTTGTCCAGCTGCTACCATGGCTTTATCTGAGGAAGTCATTCTGCAACCTCCCACCCCTCTAGCCCCCTCTCCCCTCTGTCCCAGGGACCCTGCTGGCAGACTTGGAGGAATCCCCAGCAGCAGGACTGAAGCTGCTCAGGCACATACTTTATTTGACTCTCCAGATCCCCATTCTGTCCTCCTCCATCCTGCCTTGGGCCCCAGGACACCGTGTGGATCACACCACAAAGCTCCTCGACACTGGCTTTTGGAGAGTCGGCAATAGCTATTTCTCTGGCTTTCTCCTGCCAGACTGCAAAATGAAGAAGCTGCAGTTTCTCACAGCTAGTGTGGGGAAGCTCTGCTCCTCCAGCTCACCCTCTCAGCCCCTGCGCTACAGAACCCGAAGGCTGTCCTTCATCTGTAACACCTGCAAATGGTGCTCCTGGAGTTGTGCTGTGTTTGGCCCCTGCTATCTGGGGTAGGTTGTATGGGAAATCGCATTCGCCTGCTCCAGTGTGGGTCCCCAGGAATCACAATCAGAAGCTAGACAGGAGGAGGAGGAGGAAAAGATGAGGGAAGGAAGGGGGGCAGAGCTCTGGCCAAATGATTTCAGGTTCTGGGCCTGCCTGCCGCTGCCTGCCACAGCCTCAGCTCTGGGAACACTCACTGGCTGTTCTACTTCAGCAGATGACTCAGAATTTCAATCCTTTCTCTTCAGAAAAAAAAAAAGAAAATGATCTGCAAGCAGGTGCGGAGTGAATTGTGTTTTCTCTCGGGGCCCAGGTATCGATTCTCCATCAATGAAGCTAGGCTGAACTCCAGGGGTGCCATCGTAAGCAGCTCTTCGTGTCTTTTGGCTAAGGGGAAAATGACACTGAGAGCTACTGGTTTTTCCATTTCTAGGCTCCATCCCAGGCCAGGGAGGAGATCTGGACTTCCTGAAGTGGAGCTAGATCTGTCCTTTGGGGTTCAGCATATGTTATGACACACTGGCTCCAGGATGGGGGTCCCCCGGCCCCAGACCCCAGATGGGGGTAAAGACTCCAGTAAGAGCTGGTAGACACAGTGACTTCAGCAGTTGGTACAGAAGGGACTTAAGGCCATATCAGGCTGCTCCATCCCATCTTCACCTTCCTCAGGCTGCCAGCATACCAAGAAGCTGTCCTGGCCAGGGACTTAACCTGCTGTTTCAAGAACCTCGGAAGTGCTGCTGTGGCTCAAGTGGTAGAGCGCTAGCCTAGAGCTGAAGAGCTGAGGGACAGTGCCCAGGTCCAGAGTTCAGGCCCCATGACCTCAAGTATGTACGTGCAGTGGAGGGCTGGACAGGTCTACTTCTGACTGAGCAATGTGCTGGATACCTTAACTCTCAAAGAAATGCAGACAGTGCAGAAAGCAGGCCTTTAAGCCCACCCCCAGTGTGCTCCAGCCAATCAACTGGTCCGAAGCTGGCCACACCCAGCAGCCCTGCTTGCTGTAGTTCCCCCCCTCCCCGCCCTGCTCCCCCAGCTCAGGCCTCAGATAGGCAGGAGCCCATCCGCCAAGCAACTCCACCAGGTCAACCCAGGCTGTGAGGTGTTTCTGTGCACGACTCCAGCCCCTGAACTTCACTTCTGAATGGAAGGGTGGGGCCACAACACCCAGAGAAAAGCACCCTCTCCACAGCCACAGGACCCCCTGGCCCACCCTCTGTTCCCCTCCACACACACAAAACCAACCAGGGACTCTTGACACTCACGAAGGAGATACTCTGAGCTGTCGTGATCATAATCATTGTCCTCTGGGAAGTGATTGATCCGGAAGCAGTGCCCTTTGTAGATCCCTGTAGGAAGGAGAGGACAAATGCTCTGTAAATGTCCTGTGGCTTCTCATGGCCATTTATTCCAGACACGGTGACTGCACGTTGAGAGGCTTTGTGCAGGCCTTAGACACACAGGAAAGCGCGGCTCCAAAATTTGTCTGGTGGGGCCCTAGCACGCGCATGTGTGCATGAGCACACACCCCGTCCCCAACTACAACTACACAGTGGGAGAGGGCCCCCACGGGGCCATGTCATCAAAGCTCTGGGTCTGGTACCCTTGAGAAAGAGAGAAGACTCATCTTGAATCTCTGTGGGGTCGGAAGGCGCCTGGCTGCCCGGGCCCTCCATGGCAAAGAGACTCCCGCTTAGAATGGCAGCTTGGAAAATGACAAAGCCCTTGTTGGAGGAGAGCTTTCCAGGCAGAGGAACCAAAGCTGAAGGTGAGGGTGAGGGAGGAGTCTGGGGGTCTGTCTGTCACTCCCTCTCTCAGACACACAGAAAGGGACTCTCTTCCCAGGTACACGTGAACATGCTGAACATGGACACGGTGGATTCACCTTCCAATCTCCTCTGGGCAAGGTAGAGAACACAGAGTAAGAGAAACTTCCAGAAGGAAGTGAGCCTGTGGCTCACACCTGTAATCCTAGCTTCTTGGGAGTCTGAGGATTTCAGAGTTCAGAGTCAGCCAGAAAGTCAATAAGACTACTGACACCAATTGACCAGCAAAAAGCCAGAAGTGGAGCTGTGGTTCACATGGTAAAGTGACAGCTTTGAGCAAAGAAATTGAGGATACCACCCACACCCTGAGTTCGAGCCCCAGTAGCAACACAAACACAAACACAACATAATAAGGGCTGGTCTCATCTCCTGCCTGGCTTTCTCTTTTCCCATTCTGAGAAGAGGCCCTCACAGGATAGAAGGCAGGACTCCGGGGTGGTTTGCCAGAGGACAAGGCCAGTCCTTCCTTCCAGAATCTTCCATCCAGTTCTCTCAGTGCCCTGCAGCCTGGGATTGCCCACCAAAGAACTGTCCACCAGTGGAGAGGGCGGCTTATGAGGTATCTCTGTCATGCCTTGCCTGCACCTACCAACCCGTCATGCGTGGGACCAACCTGTCATGTACGGCCTCTGCACCCCTGCAGGCAGGTGACTTGCTGACACTCTGAAGATGGGCTGTTTCTACCTGGGAGCTGCATCTTGCTGGCCTCCAGCAGCCCAGGCTGACGGCGCAGTCAATGGAGACAGTCTTGGAAGCACATCTGTCTCCCAGTGCACCCAACAGAGCGGGAGAACGCTGCTCTCACATCTGGCCACCGGGGCGCTGCTCTGCGGCTGCCCCTTCCCCCCCAGCTTTCCCTTCACCAGGCAACTTCTGCGGCTGCCTCCAAAAAGCCAGGGGTCAGGGGTGGTGGAGACAGAATGAAGGTCTCACCAATGAGGTCAAGTCTCGCATGGAGTATGCTGCAACAATGCTCCGTGCGTCTGGGTCCATCACGCACACGGTCAAGTCCTTAGTATCCTTATCTGTACCATGGGAATGCACATGGCCCATGGGGGAATTCCATGAGCTAACCGCGCTGGGCACTGGGGATGATTACGGACCTGGGTCTTTGGCTATGGAGAGGGTCGCTGTTGCTGGACCCAGGATTCCCCATGCCCTCCCTCATGTATCCTTGCTCCTTCATGGTCACCCATGGGTGTTGGTGGCAGGGTGGACAGGGGTGGGTGGGCGTGCAGAGGCCGGGGTGGGCGGGGCACACATCCCCTCACTCTTCTTCCCACCCCTCCTCCCCAGATTCAAAATACGCCCGCACACTCAGAACCAAATATGGATGCCATAGCAGATCTCTCTGCTCTGCTCTGCTCGCTAGCCACATTTTATTCTGTTTTCTTTCATTTTTTTTGCCACTTTGTAAGTCTAAACAAAATCACAAATCACACATGCCTGCTGGAACAAGTCAAATAATAAAAGGTTGGAAAAGCAGCAAGCGATCTTTCTTCTCAGATCCACTTGCTTGCAGAGCCCTTGTCAGGTGTGCTGCGGCTCTTACTATTTTTACTTACACCTTATTTTGAGATGACCATAGACTTACATACACGTGAGAACCAACATGGCGACACAGAGAAGCCTCCACTGCCTTCCCACTGCATTACAAAACGAGGCAGACACGGACGCAGTCAGGGCCCTTCCTAGCCATACCATGCCTCCCCCACCCAAGGCAGCCACCGAGATGCTCTCTGCTTCGGGATCTTGTCCTTTCCAGAATGTTCCACAGATAGAAGAATCATACCACTTGTGACCTTCAGGGATTGTTTCTACCCAGAATCGTTCTCCTGAGGCTCACCCAATGTGCACATTAATAATTTGTCCTTTTAACTGCTGAGTAGTATTCCACAGTACAGATTTCTGTGGTTTGTCTGTTGGTTGCCCATCAAAGGACACATGCTGTTTCTAGCGATTCATAACAATTCTTCCCCAAATGCTTCCATTTCTCTGGGATAAATGCCCAGGAATATTATTATGGGGTCCCATGACAGCCATGCATTTAGTGAGTCTGTTTGGGATTGGGTTGTACTCTTTTAATCTCCAACCTGCAGTTGCATTTAACTATAGTTGATAAACACCTCTCCAGTTAAGAACTCAGGTTATTTTTAAGAGCACTTTTTATTTTTGAATTAAAAAAGAGAATAAGCTGATGTGAACCCAGAAGTTGCTGAAAATCCTAAAAGGAATTAAGGGAGGAGAAAACTCCCCCTCTCCTCAAACCCAAGAACACTAGAAACAATGAACACTGGCAGAAAGAGCACCACCATGCACTTACATGTTCAGCCTGAAAATGAAACTCAGTAGTTTGAACATGAGCTTGCACACAGAAACATTTGCTCAAAGCACGGCCTCGTTCTACACATAGGGCATTGATGGGAATTATAAGTAGAAATCAAGTGATGTAGCTTACTAGCTCTCTTTATTTTTTGGCCACACCGGGGACAGAACCTAGGGTCCTATGCATGTTAGGCAAGCGCTCTGCACTCAGCTACATCCCCCGCTTTATGAATTCATTTTAAGCACGTTCGTTTTAGTGTCTGCTTCACTAAAAGCAGTCATGGATCTCCCGATTCGACTATATAATAAACAAATGGTCATTTTAGTTATTTGAGATTCTGTTCCCACACAGTGGGTCCTCCCATGTGGGAAGACCTCCCTCCTTTCTTCCCTCCCTCCTGCCCTCTCTTCTCCCCCATTTTCCTTACCCACCAAGCCTGTGCAGACTAGAGAAATGGGCACTGTTTGTGGTCAAACTGTGTCCCCCCCAAAAGATAGGTTGTAATCCTAACCCCCTGGTATTCACAAACGTAGCTGTGTGAGTCAGCTTTCCATCACTGCGACATAATATACAGGGTAGACAACTCATGAAGACTTGTTTTAGCTCACAGTCTCAGAGGCCCATGGTCCTTTGGCCTGTGGTAGCCCTAGATGTTATGTCAGATAGAAACAACAACTAGGGAGCTCCATTCACCTCATGGCAGCCAGGAAACATAGGAGAGAGGAAGGGGCTGGGGTCCCGATATCCTCCATATAATAGCCAGGGCACATCCCAATGGTCTAACCTCCTCCAACGAGCTCCCACCTCTTGAAGGTTCCAATGCTTCCCACAGGTGCCAACAGAAAGGGGGCCAAACTATGACACACAACTGCAATCCAAACGATACCAGTGCCTTCTGTGGAAAGAGGGGCTCACAGAGGTCAGGAAGACGAGGTCATGATGCAAACAGTCATGAAGCCTAACCCATCTCCATCGGCCTCACCCCCAGCCCCCCCCACCCCAAATATCTTCAGTTATTTCTTTCCCCGTGGTTCCAGGAGGCGTCTTGACCTTTGCTTTCCTGACAAACCCAGCGTTCAGGCTGGGTCTGAACAGCCCAGGGCCCAGGGCCGGCTACCCTTCCCGCCTCTTCTCTGAATCTGGCATGACTCTAGACTCAGTTTCCCGGGAGCTGCTTCTGAGACGCCTCACTTCCCCGACCCTGTTTTTGTGGCACGCAGTGTCTATCTTCTCTGTCGCTGTCAAATTTAATTATGTCATCGCTGCCTTAAGGCATTTAATAGGGAGAAGATTAATGGCTGATATGAGAAGGAAGAGACAAAGCCATGTCTAATCCATGTCACCCGTGCTTTCTCTCAGCAAGCGGGCACTTGCTGTGCTATCTATTAAGTGGCATGTAGGGTGGTAGATTTTGAGACTCGGGACGGATCACACTGCAGGTAAACTGGGGGCACTTAGGGTGAGGTTGGGACCTTTGGTGGAGCTCCCAGAGACATAGTAGCCTTGGCCTTCTTGAGAGTCAGGAAGGCTTTGAGAGCCATGTGGGCCCAGGCAAGATCTACTTCATCCCTAAACTTAGGAAGCGAGCCAGCGGGAGATGCTGCTGCTCTACCTTGCCAGAACTGTGTGTGGAGAGAGGTACACGTGTGCCGCGTTCATTTCCACCCATCAGCAGCCACTTTCATTAAAGGCCCATCTCTGGGCATAAGAAAATATCTAGAAAGAGATTTCCCCAAATATGTTCAGTGTTTTGTTTCTAAAGGGCAGGATGAGTGAAATAAAATCTCCTGTACATTCGTGTGTGTGTGTGTGTGTGTGTGTGTGTGTGTGTGTGTGTTGGTACTGGGCTTGAATTCAGGGCCTTTCAGTCTTGCTTGGTGCTTCAGTCTTGGCTGGTGCTCTATCACTACACTTTCAGCTTTTTGCTGGTTAATTGGAGATAAAGAGTCTCAGGGACTTTTTTTTTTAACCTGGGCTGGCTTTGAACCAAGATCTTCAGATCTCAGCTAGGATTATAGGCATGAGCCACCACCAGGAATGAGATTTATACAAAGAAAGTGAAAAGCAACCGATTCTTTAATTCTAAGTAAAAACATGGACTTGACCAGATGCCCCAGCCTTGGAAGTTGGGGAGTGAGGCGGGAACAAAGGTGAGGGAAGGGGTGTGGAGCCTGCAGCCTCTGTGTGTCGCCTTCCT